ATGATTATGATCAACCAATCATATTTATTGCAGAATATGTGCATGCATATTTTATGTGATTTTCTATAAAATATGTGACATATAACATATGTGAAAAAAATCTTAAAATATGCGCATATATTTGCATCACATATTCCTAACACTCTATTTCTAATAAAGTTTGTTTATTTGTCTTTATGAGAGAGCCAGTAAACTGTCTGTTACTGTTTTTTTGTTGAGTTCTTTTATTATTTTTTGAAGCGTAAGTAGTTTTTTTGATATAATTATTTGCTCTGATTTTTGGCATGATACCTGCAAGAAAGAGTTAATGTTGATCCTTTCTTTTTCTACTTGTTGCTGTAGAGAAACATTTGTAAGAATGATAGAATAAAATATATAGTTACATATAGAAATAAGAATATTTCATACTTTCTACTTCCGTATTCTTCCTTTTCCTCTTGAGCTTTAATGGTTGTAATAATAGTTAGAAAGCATATTCGATATTATTAATAAATGATGAAATATATATTATTGTTTCAACTGCAAATTTCTTATTTGAGAGGTAAAACGTTGGGAGATACTTATCAGTGAAGATGAGAACTGCAATAACGATATGAATATGTTTATATAGAAGTTCACCAGAAAAACAATCATTTATAAGCTTATCTGCTGGATTCATAAACTTGGCTTTAAGTTCTTCACGTCTTTATTTAATATCCTCCACAGTAAAAACATCTTTAACCTTGTTTTCATCATCGATATTGATTTCAACTTTCCAAAAGTTCATAACATCAGGATCATCAATAATAAATTTATATTTTTTCTTAGACAAGATATAACTTTTAAATTGTCCAACTTGTGCTTCACGAATAAGGACTTTAGTATCATCAAAGATAATATATTCAGAAACGGTAACCTGAAAGATTTTTTCAAAGGAAGTTTCACCTAGAAGTAAACAATTAAACGAAAATGACATTTTGGGGATAATTTTGCAAATGATAAATTGAGAATAGTTTAGAAGAAAAGGTTTCAAGAGAGTTTGAAAAATTTAAAAGAGTTTTAGGATATATATATACTTTTCTGAATACATCATAATTAATTATAAAATGATCTTTATAAACTCTTAATTAGTGATACGAAATATAATATAATGATATAAACATAGTATAAAAAAAGTTTATATAATGATATAAGCACAGTAAAAAAAAAGTTTATAAAGATATAAGCATAGTAAAAAAAAAGGTTATAAAATTAATTTATCGATAAGCGAAAAAAAATGATATATATGATTTTATCATTACTCAGATTGCATTCATAGTATTTATTAATTATTCAGTTATACAGTTGACTATCGCAATACAAAATTTGTATGACCATCCAAGCCATCATGTGAGCATGAACTCATTAAAAAGAAGCTGATCTGACGATGAAGTCCAAACGAGACATTTCGCAATTAAGATATTAATGAAATATATTTTTTCGATTGTGGTTGTGCATTTGCAAAGAAGCGACTCAGAGCTTGCAAAGCTAACCTATTTTTTATTCAGAAATTCAAGGACCTTATTAGGTGAGGAAACCTCTTTTTCAAAATGCTAATCTCTCTTTTGCTTGGAATAACTCTGATAGTTCGCACTTCCAAACTTTCTCTTCTTTCGTTGACATTCTACTATCATAAACTTTTGGTGAGTTTTACTAAAACCAATATTGTTAATTTATTTATGACTCTTCTATGCATAAACTTACGACCATTTTATTCTATCCAGAATATCAACGTTGAGACAAATGAAATCAGATTAGAGTTAATGTTGGGATATGTTAGTATAAAAATAGCTTAGATAGCTTAGATAAATGAAACACCGGCAGGCGTTAGTATAGAGACTCTATTTCACATTATAAAACAATGTCTTTTTTTACATCAATAAATCAATAATTCTGATCATGACATTTTGTCACAGTTTTTTTATCTATGCTAACGAACTTTTGAATTATTTTGTTTTACATAAAAAATATTATTGAACATGCAATCTATTGATTCATTGAGAGAATTAAATTCTAAGCTCTTAGCTAAGATTGCAGAGTTTAGGAAGGAGAATACTGAGATTCCCGAACTTAAAGAGAAGTTATTAAAGTTTGCTGAGGTTGTGGCTGAAAATGTGAAGTTGAGGCAGATTATTGAGGAGAATACAAAACGCAATGCTGAAAATGCTAAACTTAAGACTGAAGTAGCTAGACTAAGGCATAATATTGAGGAGATGAAACAATAAATACAAGTCATTACTGAAGTGCAATATGCTATTGAAGACACTTTTCCTGTGAAAGTGATACCAAAGATATCATCTGCTAATATACCTAGCAACTAGTGTGATAATGTCAATTCTTCACCTTCAAATGTGAGTGGGTAGAAGTTATTGAAGGATAAAGAGATGGATACTTTCTTAGAATTAAAATATAAGAAAAAAGTTAATGATGAGATTAAGTAATGCAATAAGGAGAAGAAACTTTTACACGAATCGGTTAATCAAAATGTTATTTCTAGTTTGTCATGTAATACAAAAATAATCACTAGCGGTCAATAGCAGAAAAATATTTCAAATATATCTTAGGAAAATCCCAAACATAATAATTTCACCAATAATTCTGAGCTTACAAAAAGTTATTCAGAAACTGTGACAAAATGTCATGATCAGAATAGTATTCTTGATGACCCTAATGATGATATACTTAAATCAGAAAATCAAATAGTAGAGGGTTTGGTGTAGGAGCTGACCTCTGAATTCAGCTTTGCATCTGGTAATGAATCTTTGAATGAAGGTGAAGTAAACATTTCTGAAATTAGTAAGCCTTGTATACAAGATATGATTCCAGGTTCCACACGAAGTTTATCAGAATTATTTGATAAAGCAATAAAATCAGGTCAGAAGCAAATTCTATGCTGGTTTTATTATTCTCTTTAATTTGAAAATAAGGTCAAAAACCTTACAGCGGATGGAAAGACTAAAGATAAAACAGCAAGATCAAAAATATATAAGGAAATGAAACCTTTTCTACTTAATATTACCAATGTGAATCTGTGTAAGAAAACTGAAAAAACCTGAAAAATCCTTAAGCTCTTTAGTGAAAGAGGTATAGGCATAAACAGAATCAAATATATTACATATAGCGCAAATACTATCTCAGGATTAAAAGATACTCAAATTCAATATATTATAAATCAGGTGACTTTAAAAACTGTGACAAAATGTCACGATCAGAGCACTTCGAGAAAATCAGAAAAAATCAGATAAATTACTAATGGTAATCAGACTAATGCATTTATCCTTTGAAAGCTGAAGTAAGTATATTAGCAAATGTATTATCTGGATCTCATTCTAATTCAACTTATGACTGAGCTTATTTTCGCAATAAGACATTAGATCAATATCTCAATTTATATAGAGAATTCAATAGTGAAAATTTTGATTATTATGGAATTATCAATGAGAAAATATGCCCATTATGCAAGTTAGAGTATGATGAGGAGGAAGTTTAGAAGGTAGATATAAAGCTGGATCTTACTTTATTAAATGTGAACTGCGTGAAATTGAGATAACTGCATAAGTCTGATTACTTTGACCAGATGCGCTCCCTATATTTACTCACACTTCATTGTGATATTTTTTTACAGAGCTAATTAATATTGACTATCACCTACTGTAATTTAAATTGATTTGCAATCATATAAAACAGCAACATGACCAAGTCTGATAAAGTATTAACTCTTGAATATCTGGATTGGCATGCCAAATTAAGTGGATTACCAAGCATTTTGACAGATAAGATTCATACCAATTTATACAAAAGATATAAAAAAGAAACTGGAAATGAACCATGGCAATCCGTAATAAGTATATCAGAAAAACCTCAAACCTCTGATTTCAAGCCTATCACCTTTGAAGTCAAATCTAATTCAGAGTTAATTATCAAATCTGTATTAGAACATTTCACATACTTGAAATTCTGAAATAGTTTCAGAGGGATTGATAATTATAATTTTGCATCACCTCAGCCGTAGAGCTCATCATGTCCTATTTGCAATAGAAAACATGGAAATTATGGATTACATGGCTCATGATACCATGAGAATGAGAATCAGTTCCCTTATAATCTTGAATTAGTGAAGTTGCTATCCTAAGATAAGTTGGAATATTGTCTTACCTGCAATACTTCAAGTAATAAACTCAAGTTTGCAATCGTAACCACATAATAGCATTGTTGCATTATGGCAAATAGCAGATTAATAGAAAAGATATTATTCCACAATATGAACAAAAATATGTATTTTTTTATTTACAATCAATAAAGCTAAAGCATATTAAACACAAAATATTTATATGTTAATATCTACTATAATACAATTTGAGGAGAGCTAATATTTCTCAATCAGTTTTTTATTTGTGGATTGATTACTTGCAGTATCATTTAAAAAATGTCACCATGTATCACGGGAACAAGTTATTACCACTATATAATTTATTCTTGAAACTTTCCACATATACTTAAACTTTTACATACATTAATAATAAAAAAGATCTTCTTGTTGATCCAGGGACACAATCCCAGTATCTATTATAATTTTAAGGAGTATCCGTTGATCTGATTTTCGTGATGAATCATAATAACATAATTTCCCCAAAGATTTATTCTAAAAATCGATCCTTAAATGCATTACAAATCTTATAAAAAGGTGAGGCTTTATTTAGTAAATCCTTTTATTCGCCTTGTGCAAGTAAAGCAAAAAAAATATCAAAACAAACATTCAAACTTACCACTATTAACATTAACAATATCAACAATCAATCAAACGAGTATATTTCACAAAGTAATAGCGAAGTTAGTTTGTTTGATTTCTCAGTTTGATTCTAGAAAATCACCATCACAATGCTAATTATTTTTTTCGGCTCTATAGATACTCAAAGATAAAGCAGATATATTACATTTTTTTGATATTCGCTGAGAAAATTGTGCATTGTCATGTGTTTAATCAGTATTAGTACAGTAGTCACCAGATTTTCATCACATGCTGAGATATAATGCGTTTAGCGTAGTATTATTTTAGTAATAAATACCTTTATTATAGTAACAAATTTCTTGAATATAAGGCTGAACTGAATGTTGTAAAAATGAAGTATAACGGTAAGTGTGAATCAGAAGCCTTAATTTGTTTTATTTCCTTTAACCCGTTGCTAATCTCAGAATTCTTCATACAGTTTCAAAATTATTTCATCTCTCTTGCAAGAAATAATCTATTATATGGTCTATGTGGGTGGGATAGATGAAAATTCCGTAGATATGTGTGAGAAAATTATTTTGAAAATCTAGTATAGAAAAGAATATAGGGATAAGAATCTTATAGTTAGAAATATTAGCAATAGAAACAAGTTAGCTTTAGATATTTTTGAGAGAAGAAATAACTTGATGCTGGAACTCACATTAAATAGCTTAGAATCTGCGTACTCCCTCTCTCTTTGATAGTATCATATATTTCTTTCACTTCATTAAAAAAGTTTTTGCAATACATCAAATAAATAAATGCGTTTTTATTCTTTTAACCATTTGCATGTACTTCAAAAAAATTTAATCAAGAAAAGCTGTAGACTAAGAGTCTAACTTGTATTAATGTCAAATTAAGAGCGTCCTTATTAGACTAAGAGTCCCAGCTTGCGAAACTAGGAGTTCATGATTGGAAACTAAGAGTCCCAGCTTGCACTGCTTGCTGTTCAGATATTAATATTGACATTATTATAAATTCTGCCAAAATTCTAGAATATCGTTAATGGAAAAAATTATTGAAGCTAATGCAGTGAAAAAAAAAGATACTATAATTCAATCTAAGCGAGTATGTAATTCATTTAATAATTCTCCTGCCTTTAGCACTTGACTTCATCGCTCTGGCTCAGCAAGCAGTTACCGAAGAGATAATAGGACTCATTACTGACTGAAATGCAGGATCATCAAAATATGTCCTATGCTCTAAAACTTTCATAATGATTTTATCAAGATCATTAGTAGCATTTTCATCGACCGCTTAACTTCGTCCGCTTTTTCCTCAGGAAAATATTCCTCTAGATCAAAAGTTCTATGATGATTTTTTTTCTGCCATTTCTGATCCTGATTTTTCGTGATGCTGGTGATTCTAAGTTCACAGGTATATCTTCACTAAAGCTGAAGCAACCAGAATTCCAAGACCTCAGACAGGAAGAGGTAAGTTTTTAGTTGAACCTGCTTAAATCAAATGAAGCTAATCGCCTTTACATTCATCACATTCATCATCAATTCCATCAACTGAATGATACTTACGGTATTTTAATCCTTGATATTTACTGAGAAATATGATTCTGAATCTGGTTCGACTAGGAGCATTCTGCTCCTGAATTTGAGTTGCGAGAAAGGCTTAAATAATCTTTATTTTGATAGGATGATTCAAATTGTGATTCGAAAATTACTGCAGAACCCTACCATAAGAGAAAAGTTCAAGGGATTTAAATCCTTCAAATGAAGTTTCATGTATGCAATGTCGTGATCTTCCATTCTGAGAAATGCAGAACCTAGGTGTAGTGGTGAGGTTAATAAAGGATAAGGGGTATCATTCAAGCGAAGTAAAAATAAGCATGGATACTTGTTCTTATAGAAATACTATATATTATCAGATAGTTCTGACATTTTTCAAGACAGGTGAAGTAAAATTATTTTCAAATTCCAGCTCCTGCATCATTTTCCATTCTTAAGATATAGTCATGTCACATGAAAATAAAAGAATTTTAACACTGCATATGATCTCTTAACCGGTAATGACTTATCCCTATATACTATATTCTGCTATGATCGCTCAAGAGCAATGTACTAATGCAAGTTATTTTTGAAAATTAGGATCGACAAATTATTGGATATTAAGATTTTTATGTTTTGCAACAATCATAGCTCTTAACTGCAGAAGGGTCTTAATTATAAAAATTGTGTGTATTGGAAGAGAACTGTTTCTAATAAGAAAAAAAATCAACCCAAATAGCTTTCGCATATTTACAATCGAAACAAAATTACATACTCTCAAAAACTCTAACAAACTCACTTGAACCAATTTCTCATCTATCTCCACAAAATGCTTTCAAACTCTGATATGTTTTTGATTGTACTCTTTAGCATCGTAATTATAATCTATGAAATACTAACCCAAGGTGTCATAATAATAGAGATACTCTAAGGTGTTTTTTCAGGGAATGCTATAATATATATAATTTTTGCGGTGGTGATTATATTTCTACGTAAATATTTATCTTTAGCTCTAGCAAAATCACAAGTTGCCAAACTTAAAAAATTAATATTGGCATTAAATAATGAAATATAAAAAATGAAAGGAGAGGCGAAATGGGATCGTATATCGTAAGGTAATAAATATTCTGCTCTCCCAGTTATCTTTTTGCATATATTTTCAAAGGTAAAAAGGTACTAACTTTTTTATTACCTATCATTAGGTTCGTCTCGATTCTCTTTCGGTGCATCTACCAGTCAATTTTCAGTATATTCTGATGAAGTCCAAACTTTATAGGTGGAATTCACAGCCCTATTTAATCAAAGAAGAAGAAGGGAGAGATGCTTCTACACACAATTATACAATGTAATTTCTCAAGAAATTCATCTAAGCTTCACAACTTTGGCGAGTTTCTACCACTATCAAAAAATTCTGAGGACTATTTCCTTAGATAAAATCCAAGAATGGGTTGAAAGAGAAGGGAGGAGAAATTCTAGTAATAGTGGTAGTAGTAGCAGTAATAATAGTGATAATGGTGGCAATTAGTGAAGCCAAAGAATAGGAGCAGTCATTATCTTTTGAGATAGGCTTTAGGTCTGACTACAAGTGTTCTAATATATCAGACTAATTGCCTAAAGCAACTATATAATATTTAGAACACGTTCTCCCATGCACTTCTGCGAAACTTTATTTTTATTATATCAAAAATACGAAAAATAATTTCTTTATTGTGATAAATTTTGCAAAATAATTTTAATAAAATATATTTAGAACTATAAGCATTTTTGCCTGCTATGCCTTATTTTTCTCGTTCATGGCGGATACTATAAGAATGTGAATATGCTTATCAAACATAGAAGGATCTTTAGCAAAATAATCGCTAATCTTATTCTCTGATTTTATATCCTTATATGTTTTTATCTCACAATCGATTGCGCGTAGAGAAAAAAAAGCATTTCTAAATTTCTCATCTAAGTGATATTTTTGGATTTCAGATTCTAATGCGGTAACTGGTGTATCCTTTTCAATACTAATACCAATTACTTGACATCGATCATATCTGAAAAATGTGCCAGTAGGAATAACAAGAAAAGCAACACAGATTAATTTGCTCATTTTCTATTACTGAAAAAATTTGTAGATAGGAATATTAAGATATCAGTCTGCAATAGGAACTTTTATATATAGAATAAATCAGAGTTGGGATATTGAGAAAATACATCCTAATATGTATTGTTTTTCAGGTATCTGTCACGTTTTAATATTATACGAACTTTTGATTACAAGTGTTACACGATCTTTGTTTTTTAGTACATTTCAGAGGATTGTTTTTTTTCAGGTGAAATAATACAGCCATATTGGATCATCTAGTATTATGAATTTTTGGCTTGACATATGCTATTTTTTTGGCATATCGTACAAATATGATTATTATATATAATTCTGCGTAGTTCGATCAACATGTATCGGCTAAATTAGATCTAAACTCAGCTAAATTGCCTGCATATCAGACCTAACGTATATGTTAAAACTATTCTTTGATTAGTCAATCATCTCGTATAAATACGTCATGCGAAGTGTCTCTGGCTAATCCCTGTTAATCACGAAAGATCTACAAACTGATTTATTAAGGTAGATACTTGAAATATAATTAATCTTAATCACCCCCTTAACGTAATTTATAAAAATGTATTTCGTGCTTTACAAGTAATATTGATATTTATTGATTTTTATTAATCACACTTACAGTCAAGTAAATGTTTATTTGTTACTATCTATAAAAATTACTCTTGATCCGGCTCATTATAATTAATAAAAATATTAATCATTTCAGCGCTTTGAGAAAATGAGGGAGTCACAGGTCTAGAATTAGAAGAAGGTAGTCTTGATAGAGGGGGTGTCGTTAGATACAATCTATTAGGAGAAGGAATTGCTTGAGGAATTTTTGAAGTAGTTCTAGATTCTAAGGCAGTTGGGGATGATGATATTGGTCTTGGGATTCTTGATGGTTGTCTTCTATTCAGCATGTTAGATGATGTTGTTCCTATATTAGCTATATTAGGATGTTGTATTCTTAGAAACAATAAGCATTTTAGGGTATATCTTTTCATATACATGACTGGAAGAAGAATATCACAAAATAAATACTGGGTTCTTTTCGCGTAAAGAACTCTTTGTAATAATGTTCTCCAATAAACTTCTCTTCTTCTTTTTAACTCTCGCCTTAACACCTGCCATAGCTTTTTTATAGGCCTTAGTTGTCTATATATACTAAATATATCAGATTAGAATCGGGTTAAATATATAACAAGGGTGTATATTACTTACATAGTAGGCTTGAGTAAGAGTTGCGAGAAGGTTGTGAGGAAATGCTATGAACTGACTAGGAACTAGAGAGATCTCATGTGATACAAAATTTATAATTTAGTCATATATAGTGATCAGATCTAATTTAGCTAAATTATACCAATATTTCACCTTGAACAAGGCATAATCGAATAAAGAATTTACTAGCATGTAATCTCACAAATTGGTTAATCGCTAATCAGTAAATCTGTATAAATTTGAATGATGATATTATCTAGTATAAGTTGCTAAAGAATTACTAGAATTCGCTAAAACACTATAAATCGTTAAATATGTCAGAAACCTATATTAATAGACCAAGGCCCAATAAATGTATTTATATTATCTTAGACAATATTTTTAATAAATCTGTACCTAAACCCACTAATCTTCATCCTGGTTATAAAATGAAGTATATTAAAAATTATTATGCATATATCGGCTATAACACTCCTTTTGATTTTGAAAAGGCACTTGAGACAGAAAAAAAATTTGATAATTTATCTATAATTAGATCGCATGAAACTTCACAACAATGGGCTGATTGCACTGGTCAAAATTAAAAAAATCAGAAATGCGAAAAATCAGCTTAAATTCAGCCTAAATTTGGCAAATTATCAAAAATTTGGTCTAGCCGATTGGCATACACTAGAAATCGGCCAAAAATTAGCTAAAATTCGACCTATCTTATTTATAGCCGATTGGCATATGTCAAAAATTTGACTTATCTTATTTATAGCCGATTGACGTCTGATTTACATCCAATTAATATACATCAAAAATCGGCTAAAATTCAATCCATCTTATTTATAGCCGATTGGTATATTTATTGCCGTTTGGCATACGTCAAAAATTGGCTAAAATTTGACTTATCTAATTTATAACCGATTGACGTCTGATTTACATCTGATTGATATACATCAAAAATCGGCTAAAATATTTTAAAATAAAATAAAATTCGAAAGGAAATATAACTGATATTTAGGATTAACAGCTAAATAATGCTAAAAACATTCAATTTATTTTTACAAATGATATT